AAAGTATCCCACGTGGTGGTGTTTGGGTCCCAGCAAAATTAAAATCATCTGAAGGGCAGTCTTGGAACAATTGTGTAATGGCTTTCCAGATGGGTGTAATTTTGTGCCACTGCTTGCAGTGATTTGTTTGTGTGGGGCTTTTGGGGAGACCTGCACGTGAGGTGGATGAAACAAGGGTGGAGAAACCTTCTGCATCGTTGTTTCTTCTAGGAGAAAATGTTGTCCCAGCACATGTCAGGTGTGAGCCTGGGTGTGTTGGCAGAAGCTCCTGAAAGACGTCATTGTGGGACTGCTGTTCCTCAGTATCTGTTCAAGGCTTGGGTGCTGCATGTAAACAGGATACAGGGGAATTTGGCCCGACTGTCACTATCTTGTTTCTTCCCCTGGGACTAGAGACCACCCTGCAAAGACTGACAACTGCTGCAACTTAAAGTCATACTAGAAAAGGATGAGTAAAATTAGAAAAGGATAAATAAGCTAACAATGATCCTTTGTGAATCCTTTATTCCTATTGTATTTTAGTGACATGTAGATATGTAGAAATCTGGCTTGTGGGAAACATCTTTGACTTAGGGGAGGGATAGTTTTCTGGAAAGAATATGAACTGATGTGTAATTGTTCATAGAATTCTGTCATTTGCTTAGGTGGACAGTTTCAGTCTCTCATAATATTTATAAACTGAATAAGTGTGATAAGTCAAGTTCAGTGGTGTTCAGCCTTTTGGAAATAACCCCAGATTATGGGAGGTGGTGGTTGTGCTGGGCTGGAGTTCAGATGTTTCTGAGACAAGTTTCTGCATAGTTTTTTCCTGGGTTGTGATTTGTATAGTATCCTCACTTAAAGTAGTCACTTAAAGTAGCCCAGCAAAGTTAAAATCAATTTTTTTTTTTTTTTGAAATCCTTAAGGCTATGACATGTCTGTTGCAACATTTCCTTCCTTTGACAGGACACGTGAATTGCAACAGAAATAGGGCCCTTAGGAGTTGTTGACTCATTGTTGCTGAGCTGTTGCTGTTCCTCTGACAATCTGAGACTGCAGTAAGCATTTTGAATAGCAACAACAGCATCTTGGCTATGGAAAGATACACGTACCCCTGGGTGCATGTACATGCATGTAGGCAGCACTGTGAATGCAAAGGTCTTGGTAAAGTTGGGAAAAATCTCAATGTAGCCAGGCTTCAGTGTCAGTGCTAAGTTGTTCAGTGTTTTGTGTCAAGCTCACTTCCAAAGTCTGTTTCCTAGAAGTCAAAAACCCCAATGTGAGGAATTGTGAAGGCTTCAGAGGTACATGGATGACTTTGAAAAAGGTTTTTTACCAGCACTGTTTCTAATGAAACAACGGTAAGGGCTTTAAGGAAAATCTTACTCATCTTTTATGAACTGTGATTATCTGTGAGTAGAGCCACTGCCTGAACCTCAACCTCTTGTTCCCAAGGTCTACCATCTTAGAAACCTTTTGTAGCACTCTGTAGAACTTTGCTGTTAGTTTCATACTGGTGAAATATTACTGGGTTTTCTGTGGTTGTTTTTTGGGATTTTCTTTTTTCAATATTAACTGCCTTACAATACTGCTTTAGCATCAACAAATATCTTAGTTTAACTTTTACTGTGGAGACACTCATCTTAAAATTCTTGGAGAAATACTGTAGTTATAATCTCTTGCCGTGTTCATAAGTAATATTGAGAATATGTTTCAGTATTCATGGGAAAATACTAGTGCTTACCCAGAAGATTAGGAGGTTAACTGTAGTTCTGTCATGTGTTGTGTGCAGTTATGGAATTTACTTTTTGTGAATTGCAATTTGCAGACTGGATTTGGATTTAGATTTCTTCAGCATATAAAATTGTTATTTAAAAATAAACCTTAGTTTAAGTGTTGAAAATTCCCTGCCCAACGTGGTATGGGACTTTGTGCTCAGATAGTGTGAGCAGTGCCTATAAGATCTGTGCTTTTACTCTTTTATATTTGGTTATGTGTTCACCTCTCAGCCCTTATACTGTCAAGGGAAATGTTTTGAGTATCAGCCAAGTTTTTCCTTCCCCTTGCCAGGCAGACTGTCTGTTATTGGCATGGGTGCTCAAAGTCTGCCCAGCCTTTGGCAGGGTGAAAGCTAAATACAGTCTTTTGGGTTTGTGCAGTTCTAATGCAGATGCATGACCACAATTAAGAAGGAAAATAATTCAACCAATATTGTCCAAGAGGCAGCTCATTTAGCAGGGACCTCTGCTCATGCTCCATCTCTTTGGACTTTGGCTCTTCTAATGTCCTCCTGATCTCCCACAGTTTAGTCTCTCATCCCTGGCAGTGAATGGGAGGTACCTGCTCAATGTACTTCTGGGCTTCACCGTGTCCATTGAGTTCTAGCTCAGTGTTTGAGATATGGGGTTTGGGGACGCCCTGTGTGCAGAGTTAGGGATTCTGGAACACAACTGGTCCGTGTGTTTAACATCATGCACTCGTGTTTATTTGCTGCAGTGTGCTCCTTTCAGCTTGGCAGTGCCCACAGTGCTGCGGGTGACTGGCTTGTTTGTCCTCAGTCACTTCCTCAGACTTCTCTGGATGTTTTCAAAGCCTTTCAGTTGAACCCCCAACTTTTGGGACTCATGAGGCTAGAGATACAAGTTATTGAGGAGGAGGCATTGGGCGAAGTTTGGGTATAGTCGAAGTGAAAATCCAAGGGAAGAGGAACATGTGGATGAAGGCAAAATGTAGTCAAGTGGTCATTTGATGTGGAAGTACATCCCCAAGAGAGCTGCACTCCCTGCTACAGTGACTTTTTCCTTTTTCTAAAGACTGATAAAATCAACCACCTCACATGTCACACTCAAAAAGAAAAATGGTCAAATTATTTTAATCAAAGACCTTTTAATTTCCCATTGTCAGATGAATGGACTTCCATAGACCATACACATAGGTCTGCTGTATTCATTGCAGTCTGAAGTTACTTTTCTAATTTTTCTTGGGTTCTGTTAAAGGTTCCTGTGATTTAGCACTTCAGTTAATGGGAGAGTGCAGTGGCTCTAGCCCAAATTGCAGGGTTGTGTACGATGTCTCATTGGAAAGCAGGGGTGAAGCTTGCATTCACTAAAATTGAGAAACAATTAGCTGTGACTAGGGACGATTTTCAGACGATTAAAACCCAAGCTCATACATTTTTATGACTATGCAATCTCATAACTTTCAGCTAAATTAAGACAGCAAGGAAGTCTAAACTGCACTTCCCCTGTATGCCAGTAATAACAAATGAGAGGCGTCTGCAGAGGATGAGTTTGATTATGTCTCCTTTAACTTTTCAGACATTTAAAATACACGATAGCCTGAACACCCTCTGCTCTCCTTGGATTTATTTTTATCTGTAGTACCACTTAATGAACTATTAGAAATTAAATTCCTAGATAGTCCTGCTGGCTGCTCTCCACTGAAGGATATTACTGCAATACTGATTGCTGCAGTAGTAGCTAGAACATGTATTTTTGCTTTTAAATGTAACATTCAAAATCAGCAACTTGTTTTTTCTTCAAAAATATACATTCTTGCATCTCTTATTTGAGTAGTGATATGGAATGGGAGTGATTTGCTCTGTTGCTGTTTTCATTAGTGTCATCCTAAATGGCTTCCCTTAGGATGAAACAGTGTAACATTACGTTTATCGAATTGTCAGGTATCTAATTAATCTGGTGATATTGACACCGTGTATAAATGAGGTGTAGAAAGCAGCTCCAGATGTTTTTGAGATTTACTCCCATACTTAGTCCAACTATGTTTGCAACCAAAACCCACTAATGGAGATGATCCCTTGGCTGTAGTAATCCTGTTTTTCCCCACCTTTCCCTTTTTGCTGATATGGGGCTACTTTGACCTTTTCATGACCAAGACAGGCTGCTGCTCCATTGGACTCTGAATAATTTCCTTTAATCTTCAACATACTATGAGCTACTGAAATTTGAACTTAAAATCTAAATAAGATTAGGTAAACACATCTTTTTTAAAAAAAAAACAAAACAAATAGTGTCTGATATTTGGGTCATTGTTTCAATTCTTCATTGGAGTAATAGGAAATCCTCATACTGGAGACCTGAATTGTCTATTAAGTGTGTTCTTCACTCTATGATTATGCCCTGCTGTAAGAGGTGAGGGCATTGAGGTGGCAACTGTGGGAACTTTGGGAACATACAGCATAAAACAGGTCTTTAAACTGTGATCTTAAAGTGAGTAGTTTGTAACCATAGCACTTGCATGCCTTATTTAGGGCAACTGATTTTCAGAAGCAGTAATGTATTTTGCCTGTAGTGATATGCAATGCCAAAATGACTTTGATGGATTCTCATTTCTGGTGGATGTTGCAAGATCAGTCCTTAAAAAAGAAACTACCTGATTTTCCCGTCAGGCCAGAGGAGGAGAAGTTCTGGCTCCTGCTTTAGATTTCAGAATATGTTGGTGTGACCTGTACCTGCATGTTGTGTTCTGTAGAACATCTGTTCGGGAGCGTGACGGTTTGTGCAGGGAGAAGGGTGCTGGGCATTAGGGATTAATAACACCACGCTGGTGTAGGAGCACCTGTGGGCTGTTTGGGTTGGTGACCATGATCAAGGTTCTGTTAAAAAGCTTGTGGAAGTTAATTTTGTTTAGGAGTCCAAAAATACAAAGCCTGCTTAGAAGAGGGAGCAGGAAGCAGAAGCAGCTTGGTTACTAAGTCTTTAATTACCTGAAACTTGTAAAAATGTGTCCAGAAGTACCTGTTGAATAGAACAACTATTGCTGAAGCTGATTATGATTTGAAATTATTTGGAATTCAGTAAATATAGTTAAGATGTCTTTAAGAAAATATTTTAGGAATGAGGCTGGAAGATCTGTTAAGTGTATCTTTATTAAAATGAGTGACATTCTAAAAATGAAAGTGAAAATTCATTCAGTCTGAGAATAGATGATGATGATCAGAAGCTGGTAGATCTAAAATATGTTTGATGTTGGCTGATTGCTTTTCTCTCTCTTTTGGTAGCGATCACATGGAAAATATTTATGGCTACTTAATGAAATACACCAATCTTGTTACTGGTTGGCAATATCGGTAAGTCTTTTATGGTGCTTTTTGGTAATGCTGGTCTTTGCAGCATCTAAATGAACAGGTTTCAGATTTTTTAACAATACTTGGATTTCCCTATTGCTATTAGACAAACTTTTTTGCAAGAGTCTTATTCTTTTCTCAGTATAGATTAAGCTAATGTGTACATGAATTATATTTGTATTAAGGCATGAATAAAAAAAGACATAGGAAGTAGGAGGCGGTTAATTCATTTGGTGGCTTGTAACTAAGTTTGTATGTGTAAAAAGCATGTACAGCATTGAGGTTTTTGTCCTTTTCCATTAAAAAATATTTTTGTTTTCTGTTGAGTCTTCAGCTTTATGCTAACTCATGCCATCATTAAAAAAAAAAAAAATTAAAGACTTCTCTACTGCAAATTCAAACTTAAACAAGCTTTTCTGTTTAGTTCTCCAGGATGCCTATCTGGACTGCAATAACTTGATTTTCTATGTCAGGTGAAATTCTCTGGTCAGGCTTCCTGTTTGGTCCTGTTGCTAGACCAACACAATGCAACCAAATTAATATTGGAGAGACATGTCCTTAGCATACCACACTGGCCGATTGCCTGACTCAAGTCATTAAGTCCCAATGCCATCTGTGCCAACTTGTAATGAAAGTATTGACTTCTCCCAGTACCACCAGCCCCACAAAAAAAAAAAAAAAGGAAAAGGAGCAGGTTTTATTTAGCGTGTTTGTTTTGTTATCATTGCAGGTTCTTTGTGTTAAACAACGATGCTGGCCTGCTGGAGTACTTTGTGAATGAGCAGTCCAGACATCTAAAGCCCAGGGGTACCCTGCAGCTGGCTGGGGCTGTCATTTCACCCAGTGATGAGGACTCTCACACCTTCACAGTCAACGCTGCCAGTGGGGAGCAGTATAAACTAAGAGGTAGGGCCTGGGTTCTTGGGCAGGGGATTCTTCCACTAGAGGACAGTCCTGGCTCTCACCTGTGGCTGCCTGGCTGGCCTTGGCTGCATAGCCCAGGAGAGAGAACTTGTTTGGCAGACTGCTGCAGTGGGAACTGTGTGCAAAACTTCCATCCCGCTCTTCTGTTAGAAACGGTCTGTCTTTATGGATAGTTCCATAATGTTTGGGTTTCAGGACCTTCAGAAGACTGAACTTGGTATTGTAGAGTGGAGTTTAATCTCCATCTGTAGTGTCCTCAAATTGTACTGATTCAAAGGTTTTAAATCATTGTAGGTAACAGCACTGTGTGGATGCTTGCAGAGAACTGCAATATTCCTAATGTTTGGTTTGTTAATTGCCTCATGGTGCTTATAAAATCCCATTCTCTGATTTTTGTAGGCTACAGAAATCTGGGCTAACAACTTTTAGTATTTCTTTCCTTGTAGGTTTGCTGTCATTTTCTAATTCAAGATATCTTACTTTTATTCCAGGAAAATGGTTTGTGTTGTTAGATGACAATATGTGTGAGGGGAGTTATGGTTTGTTGATTTTTTTTCCCCCAATTAATTTTGTAACAAAAAAACAAGAAAGAAAGAAAAAGTACATACTATTTATGCTGAGCTTGCTTTAGTATTATAGTTATTACATGTGAACAAGTTCTAGATTTTAAAAAAATATTACTTTGCACTGTTAAAATGTGTTTTCAAGCGTGAAGCAGTCTGGTTTGCTCCTACTTTGAAACGTCTTCAGACATAATCCTTTTGGTTTGCTTTTATTAGCTACTGATGCTAAAGAACGGCAGCACTGGGTTAGCAGGCTACAGATCTGCACACAGCATCACACGGAAGCTATTGGAAAGGTATGACTGATATTTTCACGGGCAGAAATAATTGCAAATACAACTGTTCTGCCATCTAAGACAAATATTACAAAAGGACCCGTGGTCAGGCTTGAAATTTATGTCAAAGAACATTTTTCTGCTTAATAGATGACTTGTAATAGAAATATGCTCTAGGAATGAAACAGAGTGAAGTCCATTAGCCTCTGAAGAGTTGAGTGGTCCTCTCTGAGCAGGTGATGCTGAGCTGGTGTTTGAACAGGGAGCAGAGATGAAAGATCAGGATATTAGCCCAGTATTTTTCCAGTGGCCTTGTGTTGTTTTTTTAAATGGATGAGGAAACAGGGCTTCATGTTGTTGAAGCTCTTTCATTTTGGGAACTTTGCTTTCCTTTTTTTTAACCTTTACCTTTCTTCTGAAAACCACTCAACAACCCACAAATAAATTTAGGATGAATTCCCATGTTTGAGAAGGAAGTCCTCAACACTATATCTGGGTACTGTTGCTAACCAACAATGTGGTGGTTGCAAATACAATGTGTTTGATAGAACCTCCTGACTGCCATAACACCTGTTCTGATACCTGAATAAAGCCTTGCTTTTAAGTTACAGTCAGTGTCTCGTAGCTGGCTTTGTTATAAGAGAGAAGTTCAATTAGTAGTTCTAAACAAAATTCCATTCTCTTAAATGTTAACTCTATCCTTGCAGGATCTGTTAGGAGTCAACTTCTGCTACTGTTGCAGATCAAGGACTAATTTTCAAGTCAGAGAAGTGATACTTATTGATCAATCCCATTTCACAGATTGATTGTAATTAGACTGTAAAACAGGGCAACTGGCAGCAGACAGTGCAAAATATTTAGCAGTTGCTACTAATACATTATTAGGGCTTTGTCATCTGTCCTTGCTCTTTAAAAAATTATGAATTAAGCTGTTCCTGCTGTATCTTTCATATTAGAACATTTGTTGATTATTAGGATTAATTGTAAATGTTTCTCAATATGCTTATTTATTCACTAGAACAACCCTCCTCTGAAATCTCGCAGCTTCTCTCTTGCATCCCAAGGAAGCGCCAACTCTCCTGGTGTGCAGAGAAGACCCAGTCAAAATGCAGTTTCCTTCTTCAGTGTTGGACATCACAGATTGCCAGCAGGAAAAAGAGTTCCCATTATGCAACCAGATCACCTTGTAGATGTTAGAGAGGTTTGTATGCTTTGAATTATCTTAATTTTTTTTTGAGAGAGCTGTCGTGTTATTTGTAGGATTGTGGAGAAACCTGCTATTCTTAGCTGGATGTATTGTCAGTAGCATGTCCTAAGCTATTACTGCACAGCTGTGTGAGGATAAGGAACTTGCCTTGGCTAACTGTAGAAGTATGTGGTGTATATTCTGTGATTTTTGTGCTCTGCAATAGTATCCTGATGCTGAAGATAGAACTATGCATGTTCTCTTCCTTGCAAGTCCTGGCACTACAAGTGACAAAGGAATATCCTTAAGGAGGAAGTATGACCTCATATACTGTGATGCTATTATACACTTCTCTTCCCATGTTAAGGTATAGAAGAACTGACTAAGCTGTGCTTGTATCTCCTATGACTAAGGAGAAGTTGGTCATGATTGATGTTTAAGAATACTAATACCACTTTCTGGTAAATTTGGACAAATTGTCTAGGGATGGATGTGATTGAAGAGAGAGCAATTCAGAAGCCTGCTTTTTTTTTCACTGCACATTCAGGTGTAGTCTATTTTGGGGGGGAAAACCAGAAATAATTACTTTTCCATCTTGACCGACAGAACAGACTGACTACTGGTTGATTTAACTTGTGAATATTTACAGGGTAGATCTTAGACCTTAGAATCTGTGAATCTCTCTGTCCACAGCAGACTGTTCTTGCAGATGTCTTGCAAAAGGGTAACTGCTGACATCCTGTTTTTATCCTCTAATAGCAGTAAAGTCTCCAATAGTACTAATGCAGAGACATGTGAAGTCCTGCCAGGTACTCAGGAAAAATTCTGGCATTCCTCTGGCTTCTGTGTTTTGTAAGCTGTTTCATCTGCTTTATCTTGTGAAAGAGAAGTTTGTCTTCCAAATTCATTTTAGAACTGAAGCCTTACAGGTAGTTGCTTTTCAGTTTGATTCATCAAGTTACCTCTTACTTGTGATAAACTTCTTAGTAGTGTGGTGCAACACTTACAACATTTGGTGAACTTAAATAATACTTTCACTTTCCTACCTATTGCATGGAAACAGTGACAATACAGAATATGGCATTAATATTTATAGAATTCATGCCAATAGCTCTCTGAGCAGTGGTTTTTTTGTTGTTGTTGTATTTTGGTGTTTGAGAAGCTGCCTTTAAGTGAGATAGTGTTTCAGAAATGGCTTTTTCACTTTTTGACTTTTCAAAAGGTGATATGGCATTCAAAATTTTAGGGAGAAAAGGGAAGTGTGTGTGAGCTGGAGCACTGAAGCAGTGGCTTGCATTCTCTACTTGGATTCTCACTGGGTGGGAAGTAAAGTGGAATGATTTTTCTTGGCATTGCAAAGAGCACAGGAAACTATTTATGCTCTCTTTTGATTGCTACTGAGTTGGGAGACACAGCATGATTATTTATCAACTTCAAAATTTTTGACCTGTACAGATGAAGAATCCTCAGTAGTAGCAGCTTTTCTCAATGTTAGTTTGCTTGCCCTTTTTTTTAAAGCAAAAATGCTTATTAGATACAATGCCTACTTTTTTTTAAAGATATAGTTGAAATACTTCAAGGGCAGGTACACGCCTGTTACACCTGAGCATGATACAGCTTCAATACTCACAAATTCTGTGTGAGAAACTGGGGGAAGAGCAACTTCTCTTTCAAAGGATCTGCTTGCTGCATGGTGACCTTTTTTGATTTTCCTATGAATTGCACTATAGCTGGGTCTTCTGTCAGTCTCTTTCCCTTTTACTTCCCCTTGTTCTTGGCTGAATACGTGTCACGCTGCTGACTTGGATACCTTGCAAAGCAGGAGATGTAAGAAGATCTTTATGCTGACTTGCACTAAATGCAGGTGTATGTTTTTGCAAAGTGAGAACGATTGCCTGTAAACTTCTCATTGATACTACATTTTTAGTCACGGTGCTTTTCCTCTTCTCGCACTATTTTATTTTTTCCAAATCTGAGTGTATAAATAAGAAAAAACTGAGGACTGTTCAAAGTGTATTCTTTGAAAGGGGAGATGTGCCTACTTGAACTGCAATGCTCAGCATAGCATGGCTTGTCTTGTTGTCTGACCTGATGCTGGAATGAAGTGCTTGGGTCCTATCAAATAGTAAATTACTAACAGTGAATGTCGTCAGAAGGATTGTCATGATTTGTCAACAGATTATCTGTGGATTTTAGTTTTTTTAATCCAACACACTTTTTTCAAAGTATTGGGAAAAAACTACACACAAAGACTTTTATCATGTTTGTGACTGGAGGAAAAGGAGTCTGTTGTGATAGTGATGTGTTTGCATAGGCAAGGCTGTATATAATTGTTTTACTAGCTTTCTGCCCTGTCAGCTCTAAGGCTGACTCTGCACAGTTAAACCACTTCCAGAGAGCCAGTGCTCTGTACAGTCACACATTCACATGCTACGTAGCCAAGCCCTTAAATGTTCCAGATACCACATACCGTGACCTTGGATGAATACGTGTTCCTTATGTATTGCATAAAATCTTAAAATAGTTCCTAGAAGGGATTGCAGAAGTACTGAAAGAAAACCAAAAAAACCCAGTAAGGTACTGCTAGGATTGGTGAATTAAAAAGCTACATAGTGTCATAGCAGTTAAATGCATTAATGCACTTTAGATTCTTTAAAGAAATTCTACTGCTACTCTGCTAAATCAATCTGTCTTTATATTTAAATCAACTGCCAGAACACATAATGATTACAGTCATGCTGTCCAGTTACATCGATATTTGTTGTTCCTCCCCAGAAAGGGGTCTAACGTGTAGGAGTTTACATTCTAGTAAAGGAGTTTGAATCCTATGATTCAAAAATCAGATAATATTTTGTTTCTGTGAGTGTTGCTTGGTGGCTGGTGTGCTTTGCCCCCGTACTTCATGTGGGCAAATGTGATGTTGCAGGTTCTGTGATTTAGGGGTGTGGAGCTCCGTGTGAGGGTGGAAAGGAGCTTGGTGGGGGGGCAAGGAAGGTGGACAGTGACAGCAGGACAGATGCAATTTGAACACATAATGAAGGTAAAAATCCTGCTGGCTTTTTTTCCCTCTCTGCGAAGTACATGGTGAGATAGTGATCCTGAGTGTGGTGTCAGTGCAGGCAATAAATGATAATCCTTTATGGTTTGAGCCAAAATGAGTAATATATTTTTTTCCTTCAAAGTGCTGCATCCCTTCTTGTAGGGAGTAAAAAGATCTTAATACTCACAGACAGTAGGTCCTTTTCCAGTCTGTGCAGAGCACAGAGCCTAATTACTCCTCATATAGAGTGCATGTGGGGTTCCCTCCCCTCCCTATCATCTAGGCATGGAAGTTTTTGATATTTGTTGCAGCAGGTATCATGTTCAAATTCCTTCTTTTTTGAATGACTCTGATTATTCTTTTGCTTGTTAATAAGGTGCCATGTATTGCCATGGGAATTTCATTACGCATTTAATGACTTTCTAGTAGGCTGCATCAAGAAAACAAAGTACAGTTACCTTGCCATACATCTGTTACCTTGTTGTTTTATTATTGTCATAAAATCATTTGGGCTCCCCTGTGTGCACAGCTGAGCACTTATCACACAGCACTTCCACCCCCTGATAAGTGGCTGTTTTGTTTGGCAGATGATGTCTCAGGCTGAAGGCCAGCAGAGAGACTTGATCAGGAGCATAGAATGCCTTCCTGTCTCCGGTCACCTTACGTCCTTGGATCAAGACCTGTTAATGCTCAAAGCAACTTCCATGGCAACCATGAACTGCTTAAATGACTGTTTCCATATTCTCCAGTTACAACATGCTTCTCAGCAAAAGGGATCCTTACCAGCAGGTGGGTATAGGTGCTCACAGAGAGCAGAACTCTGTAACAAATACAAATCCTTCCCTTCTTGCAGAAAGGTTTGTTCCACTGAATCCATTTTCACATGGGCAAAGAAAACTGGCTTCTTTGTGAGCTTTTCCAGAGCCTAACTTGCTTGTGTTGGGTGGAACTCTATGCATGTTATATATATATATACTTTTTTTTATATATAGTGTATTCTGTCAAGAAGTCTGTGGCAGCAGCTGCATAAATATAACATCTAATTGTTGTACAGCATCTTGCAGCAGAATAAAACTACATAAGGCAGCACATCACAAAGGCTGCCTTTGGGATGTACTGACCTCTCAGGAAAAGTAACAGTAGAGTAGGAATTTCATGGGATTGCAGAAGCTAGGATATATAGTGTCTGATACAATTCTGTCAAATGTCATAGGTTTTTTGTTTGTTTGTTTGTTTATTGCACACTAAATACCTATTATAAACATTTACATGTGTGTAGCTTCCACTTCTACTTAAACATTAAAACAGCTCTACATTTGTACAGGTTACTATTAATACTATTAATATATCAGTATTCTTGTTTTGAGTTACTGTCCTACTCTGAACCATGGCCTAAGACACGTGTTGCATTCCATTCTGAGACCAGAACAGACTTGTAAGCCAATGCAAATTGCTTAAAGGTTAAGAAAAAAAGAAAATTTCTTTTAATAAACAACTGACCACCACAACAAACAAAACCCCTGCAAACACCAAACCTTACTGCTCATGCATGTGGAGTATGTCCATTCACAGACAGTAGATAAATATGTTGCCCTGTCTGCACAATTGATCACTTCTATGCAAGTAGGGGTAACAGAACTGTTCTACCCTAATTCATGTGCAGTGTATGGAACTGAATGTGTTTGTTGTTTGTAAATTCTGCATTTTATTGTGCCTTTTTTCATGTGTTTACTTTGTGGCTTTTTGTGAGCAAAAAGCTTTTGAGGACTTTCAAATGCTTTTCTTGCACAACAGATCTGTAGATATGGTAATTATGTAACAGAGTATACTCATAAACTGTCTCTTGCCTTATCTTTCCCATATTCCTATCATATTTGTGGTGCCTGCTTTGCCAGGGCATATTATGTTAGAGCTGTAATTAGTTTAGCTTTTAAGATGAAAAAATACGTCATATAAAAGTATTAAAACTATATAAAAAAGTTTGTAATTCTAAAATCACCACAGGCATTAAAAGAGAATATGTGAATAGGATGAATTAACTTTTTTGCTGTATTTCAGTTCAACATTTCATTTTAAAAATGAAAAGTTGGATGGCACCTCTCCAAACCTTTGTCCAAACTCTGAAGTTACTCACACTGAAAGAACTCTTCCTATTCCCTTTGAATTTTTTTGACTATTGGTGGATAACAGTGGGAGGTGCACATCAGAAGTACTTTTGTTCTGGCATTTTCACATGTGCACTACTAAGATGGTTTTTTGACTTGTGTCTGGGGACATAGGTAGGGTCCACTAAGCACCACTGGACCAACTTAAGAAGATAGCTTTGTTTTGTTTTGTTTTTTTGTTTTTTGTGGGTTTTTTTTTTGACAAGTGGTGTTGTAGGTTTATAATTTTTTAAATTATATGTGTAGCAGCTTAGTTCACTGCTGTTCAATTGGTATCTGCCTGTTAATGGCCAAATCTAAAACAATTGCTTGGAGATGTCCAACTCTTGAAGATTTCTGGTGATATCCTAAGGAGATGGAGAGGGGAGGGTCAGCAGATTGGATCATGCATTACTGGAGCCAGAGTTAAAGACAGACCACTAAAAGAATGAATGTTCCTTTTTGCAACCTTCCATGCTCCCCCCTGCTGTGGCCTTTCTAGAGACACCATAATACACTTGTTCCTTTCAAGGATCACAAAGAACATTGTTATTGTTATTATTATTATTATCATAATCAAAATCTATTTAGCTTAGATTTCTCCTCTTAACTCAGGGGGATACTTCTGGTTCAACTGGTAGAGCCTTTTTGGAGGGTTCAGGAGTTGATATAGAAAGAAAAAGAGTTGTAGCTTAATTCAAATGCTGCAGGAGGCTCTTTCTATATTTAAATGTAGGAAAACATAACATGAAAAAGGAAAAGTTTGAAATCAAACTGTGCTATCTAATAAAATATATACAAGCACTGTATTGTCTTAGTAGGATCAGGAAAGCAGGTCATCATGCTTCACCTAGATATGATTGAGGTGCAGGAGGAAGTGACGGAGACTTGTCTAACTTAACATCAGTTTAAACACGAAGTGGAAAAAAGTATCTTTGAGTCCATTGAAGCGGTACTTGACTGTGAAGAATGTCTTGGACAAGTGCTTGTCAGGCCTAAAAAACAAGAATTAGAAATTATGTAAGAGTTCCATTTTGCTATAAATCATTAGATGACAAAAAACACCAAAAAAACAGAAGAGTGAAAATACTGCATCAACACATCAGGGTGCATCATGAATCACAAATCTAAAGATGAACAAGAAAGTTGCAGCTATTAACTTTTTCTAAATTCAAGTCAGAAGTGGGGAAATGTACTGGATTTTTTTTTTTTTAAAAAGGTACTTTGTTATCATAAAGGTGAATCGCAGCAACAAGTTGCAACTCTTGAAGAACACTGTTAGAAGTAAAGATTCTATGTTCTGGGAGGTCTGTGTTGTAGTACAGGGGAAGTACTGACAAAAGTTTAAAAAGAAATGGGTTGAAGACTTTTAGGGAGGAGGAGAACACAAGTAAGAAGAATAGCTTGTGCCTGTGAAAAATAGTTGAGAGCAGATTTGAATATGATCTTCCAGTGAAAGAGAAATGTTAAGGTGGTATATTGTCCATTCAGAAAGATTATGATTCTATGATTTTATGATTAAAACGCAACTGGTAGCTCAAATCTTTTAATAATACCCTCCTAAGGGCAAAAATTAAACAGTGCATAATAAATAAGGTCGTTTTAGATGTAGCTGATAGGGAATATAAAAGGGAGGCTATTTATTAAATTCAAGCTAGTGTAGAGGCAGTGAGTGTGGATTAAGTTCAGCCTAGAATATGCAGTTAGAGATTAGTGTGTTGAAAGTTAAAGCTTAGAAAGCAGGTGTCATGAAGAGGTTTTAAAGACAAGCAAAACCTTTTCAAAAAAGATATGTGTGACAGTGACATTCTGAGCATCTTATTTTTTGACTTCTTTGAAACTTCTGTGTAAATAGCTTAAACTGCTCAGGAATTTTTGTTTCTTATTATGTAACAGAGTAATAGTAATGAGTAATAGACTATGAAAATAAACTGCTGTGGGAAAAGTTGTCTTGGCTCAATAGTAAAGCTGGACTTTTTTCCTACCCCAGTATTTTCCTGGTGGAAATGCTACTGTTTATCTGAATTTAACTTACTCTGCCTGTTGTGGTTGAGGATGTGACCTAGTTCCTGGTAACAGGGGTCTGGAAATAAAGGATTGTGTATCATATAGGAAGAGGAAACAGACATTTTAGTATAGATTCCCAAGCACAGGGAACTTCTCTCTGGTGGTGGAAATTCAGGTTTCCTCATAATTTCTGTGTTTGCAACACAACCAAGATGGTTTGTCAGTTTGTGTATTCTTCAGTAAAAACTGATTGGAGTCACCTGTACATTTATTACCCTTTGAAAAAGAATGGAACATTTGTATTATTAACGAGGAACTCGATATGTTCTGATAAATTAGCTGGGAGTAACTGGAGATGCTGGAATCATCAGGTGGGTAATAGCCTTCCAAGCCCTGCAGCCTTTTTTTTTTTTCTCTGACAACTATTATTTATTCAACAGCATGTGCTTACCTTTTCTGCAGCTGAGAAAAAACAAACACCTTCTCCAGAGAAAACACTGACAACAAAACTTCTGCTTTATCTCTTTTTAATGTAGAACTGAGCTGGGTTTGAGAAGCTGATAAGTGAAAAGCAGCTTGCCTTTTTTTTTTTTTTTTGTACCAGTTAAAGAAAATTATAAGGGTTACTTAACATTCCTGTGATACTGGGTTCCTCCTGTAGTGTCTGATTACACCTTTCATGACACCAACTAGTTTCTCCAGTCCAAGTTGCATGTATTACAGCTCACCAATCGCAGTGTTTGTGCTAATGATCACTGAAGGTGGTGTCTCATTGCACCACCTTTGTTTAGTGGCTGCTGGAGGCATTGGCTGCAGGAGGAATTGGCTGCTTTCAGCTTATTCCATAAAAAACATCTCTTTTGTGAAAAACTGTTTACTGACCTTGCGGAGGATGAGCAAGCTTCAGCGCAAACTTTCTTTTGCTTCAGGGACGACAATCAGTTGGTTGGAACCGAAGATCTCTCTGGCAAACCACTTCAAAAATGGAGCAGCTCAGAATTTCCCAGCAGAGATAAACAAACCAGCATCTGTCAGAGAAGAGCAATCCATTGCAGAGCCCTGCGAGCTAACAAGGGTAAGGTAATGTGAACATCTGATTTCTGCGGGGAATTATTTAGAGGAATACCTGTGAATGCTTCAGTCATAATTTGGGAAAATGATTTAATGACAGTTATACTTTTGATTAGCTGTGCTGGAGGAGGAGTGAGTCCAGTTGCAGTAAATGAAACTCTCCAGCTTGTTTTTTCAACAATTTTTTGCTGCTTTATGTAATTAAACATCAAATGGAGGAAGTCAGTTGGGATGGTAATGCAAGGTGTTGAAATAGGCAGTATTCCCTTGCATTTTGATCTAAAACAAGTAAATAATGAAGTGCAAAAAAACTAACTGAAATTCATAACACTCTCAAAATGGGCCCAAGAAGAACTGCCTAAGCAGACAAAAGACAAAATTGCTGGTCTCCAGCTATGACATCTCCATCTTTTTTTTCTAGGTCTTGCTGCATCAATTTTTCTTAATCTGAACAACTCTCATCACTTGACTTCAGAATGGCTTAATGTATTTGAAATACAGCTACAGTCTATATCATTATCAGCTACAGCCTGTATCATTATAACTGACAAAATGGATTTGAATTGCAAAATACTAAAGTAAAAAAACAGCAGGGATTATGATGAAGAACATGTTTTCCTAACTAAGCTAGAAAATCATAATTACATTCTCCTTATGCTAGTTGGTTTCACACAGTTGTTTGGCTGAGACTGTCATTGTGAAAAGATAATGTGCTGGTTTATGTCTCTGCAACAGCACTGGGCTGTCTGTCTTGGAGCAAAATCGAAATATAAAATAATTTTTTCAGTTGCTGCAGTTTTTTAAATGGGTCAGAGTAGTTACTATTAAGTTAAAAAAAGAAAAGAAAAAATGAAGCAAAGCTAGGAACTTTCAACTAAATCGCGTAATTCCTTTCTTCCAATAATTAAGCAAGTTACAGTTTGAATACATGGGATATGGCTGGTGTTATCCCTGCCCCCAGGTATTTTCACCTCCAGTAGTTATGAAAGCAAACAGCATAACATCCTTGGAAAGGAATCACCTTTTTGGTATTGTACATTTGAACAGGATTTGAGCGCTGCGTGTGGGCTTGACCCCAAGTTTTGGGTGGTTGAGTGTTCATAAACCTGTCTCCAGGCAGGGCAGCTGCTCCAGAACAAATGGCTTTGCTTAGGCAGAGGCATATTGCTGCCTTACAGTGGCATTCAGTGCCTCTCCCTTCTCTATCTGCCTCCCTCCAGCTGTTTGCCCCAGGAGGATGCAGCTCAGAGCCCCAGGAATACCACCCTCCCTTCTGCCTGAAGCGTTTGACTTTCAGCTTGTGGTGTGAGGGTTGTTAAAATGGTGCTGATATCATTTCTACTAATCTGTCTGCTTTAGTTAAACAGGCAACCAGCACCTGTAGTGTGTGTATGTGTGGAGTTTTGTTGTTTCTTTATAAAACTACTCTTAAGTTACTTTTCTTTTTTGCTTCACTGTTACATATGTTTCCTTCACTGTTACACTGTTTCCCTCACTAGCAGCAATACCATAATGCTTGTGAAGAGCAACTTGGGAGATACCAGGCAGGATGGTAGTCACGTATCATTTGATACAGCCTCTGGAATAATGATGGCAACACTGGAAAGGCTGAAATAGCGTGAAGGTGGAGGGGTGTTATTGAAGTGGTTGGAATTTCTGGTAGTTTTTGCTTTGCTGTTTCTGTGTATGTGCTAGATGTTTGCCATTCTGTGAGCTCATAAAACTTAAAGGAAAACAGGTCATGATTTCTTTTGAGCTGCTTTTTTTTTCCCATGACCCATTGTGAGAGGTGGTGAGAAATCTTAGCCTGAATCCTCTAGATGGAATCTGCACTGAGTTATCTTAATATCCCTTCAAATTCTTTAGCAGTTGTTTATCTTGGGAGTAGATTCCATTGTGTAGCTCTCTGCAGGGGTTTATTTAGTCTTTTTTCATACATGGACAGTTAAATACAGTATGAAGTCCTTTTTGAATACTCCCTGGCCAGTTGCATCTTTGAGCTGAGTTTATGGCTCTTATTCCAGGAACCTGAAGAAATAAATCCAGATGAGGAGCTGGAGGATATCTGTGATGATAAAGAAGATGATCTAGGAGCAGTGGAAGAGCAGCGCAGCGTTATCTTGCATCTCTTGTCTCAGCTGAAACTGGGCATGGACTTAACAAGAGTAAGTATGACTGAAGTGTGAAGACTGGCTGTGGTAAAAGTGAAGTATCATTTTAAACTCAACTTCTGTATTGAACAATATTGTGTTTTATATTAAATTGTGTCCTGTAGCAACTTCAGGTCCCAAGATGTGATGTCCCGGTTTGAGGCAGGTTTAAGAGAAATGGGCTGAGGAGGTGGATTTTCTTTAGTGCAACTGACCTTATCTTTTCTATTACCTTCTCTTTGTGTTTTTGTTGCCTTTCCTGTAATGGCCTGTTTTCTTTCCTGTGATTGCACCTGAGTCTTTTCATGCTGTTTTCTACAGACTTCTCTTATTTTTCTTTCTGCTTTCCTTCCATGATCTCTTTTCTGTCTTGATAATGCTTTTTCACACAACTTACATAACCCTACAGCTGTATTCATGCTACTTCTGAAAAGAGGTTTTCTTTTGGTTCCTCGTTATTGATCCTTACACACTTGTTTACACCTCTTTGCTATTCTCATTTCTGTGTTTGCTCACAAGCAGACACAAGAAAAGTTACACTGGAGAGAGTCAGACTTGACACTTGAGTGCAAATATCAAAAGCAAGCTGCTTGGAAAAATTAACAGTTCCTACTGGACAACTTGGGCAGTAAATCTGGGAAAATCAGGCTGCTACCAGTTTAAGTTCATTTCACTCCTGTAAAGACTTCTTACCATAAGCACTAGGCACTATTGAATAAAAAATGGATTTTAGAGTGCCATGGAATGAGGAAAACACTCTCTCTCTTGGAATTATGGATTATAATTATTTTTGTTTAATTATTTTTGGGGCACTAGCTACATAACCCCTAGAAACACTTGTATTGGGCAACTTACCTTTCACAACTTGAGAGGGGAAAAAAAGATGGTAGGAACAGGCCCCACTGTCTGTAGGTCAAGCTTAAACACTTGCTGCTTAACCAGAAATTGATTAAGTCATTATTTCACTTATATTGAAGATTGGATTTGGGATATCTTTTTCTCTTAGTTGGAAGAAATTGTCAAGCCTGTCTTCCAGTTGTGACTTTTGGCTGTGTATAATTATCTTTAGTTCAGAGCAGGCAGAGTATCAGGGTACTGAAGTGAAAAGCCACTTTAATACTCCAGGTTGGTGTTGCAACAACATGACAAGTGTATTCAGTTTAACTGACATGTTTATTAGGAGTGTTAGGTCTGTGTTCTTTCTCTTTGGGTGCAGCTGATTTAAATGGGTTGTCTTGATGTCATGGTTGAGACACCCTGTATTGCTGTTTACAACAGTTAGTTATGTGGGGTTGGTTCCCACTATGGGGAAGGAAAAGGCTGATAATATCCATGGCCTCTCACTCCACAGGATTGCTCTTGGCTCAGCAAAGGACAGAACTGCTTTTAATAGTGGTGAATGTAACTGGGAAAGTGTAAGGTGCCTCTGCTCAGAGGTACAGGATCAACCTATACTATGCTACTTCTTATGGATGCTTGTTTTAGTTGCTATGGTGAGAGAGATTCTGCAAGCTCTCCAGAGCTGCTTTTCTCTCCATTAGACAAATCCTCTCCTAACCTCTGTATGGAACCTTCCTTGCGGTAGTTTGAGTCCTTCACACTTGTTTTCTCCTCCTGATACTCAATCCCTTTCAGCATCTTTAATCCTAATAGTCCTAATTGCTTTTCTGGAACCTCTGATCACTGTATTTTGCTCACATCCTACAAGAGGGACAAGAAAGTTCAGTCTGAATGTGTGGTGTCAAAAACAGGACAGAATCCTCCTCTCAAGAACTTCCCTTATAAAATGCCTGTCTCTTTTGTTTTACTTACTAGAGCCTTCTGGGTTTTCTTTTGTTCCAGGTGGTTCTTCCCACATTTATTTTGGAGAAGCGGTCGCTGTTGGAGATGTATGCGGACTTCATGTCCCATCCGGATCTCTTCATCGCAATCACGAACGGCACCACCCCTGAGGAGAGGATGATCCGCTTTGTTGAGTATTATCTCACCTCGTTCCACGAGGGCCGCAAAGGAGCCATTGCAAAGAAACCCTACAATCCCATCATCGGGGAGACGTTCCACTGCTCCTGGAGGATGCCGAAGAGCGACGTAGCTGCTGATGCCAGCAGTAACTTCCCTGCTCACTCCCCCTCGGAGCAAGCAAATCTGTCTAAAGATGTGGAAGGCCAAGCAGAGCTGGACTACTATACAGTAAAATTTGTAGCCGAGCAAGTGTCCCACCATCCTCCTGTCTCAGGGTTTTATGCTGAGTGTGTAGAGAGAAAGATGTGTGTCAATGCCCACGTCTGGACAAAAAGTAAATTCTTAGGAATGTCAATAGGAGTGACGATGGTTGGCGAGGGTAAGTGTAACTTCTGTCCTTTATTCATTTTTAGTAGGTTGTTAAAATATTAGTTTGATAGCAGATTTGATGTTACATTCCTCTGGTAGGGGAATACTGCTCAGTAGTTTTGTTTCAAAGACTTTTAAAAAATTATAATAATCTGCTTGCAGAAGACATCAGTGGGTTTTTAGATTTCTTTTTCCTGCATACTTTTGGTTTTCCTCTAATCTCTGTGATCTGCAAGAGTTGATATGTAATCACTGGTGATGTCTTCCTTTACTTTTACTGTTTACAAATTACAGACGATGCTACAAGTCATCATTGTGTAAACAGCAAATTTTCATATGGGGTGGAAAAACAGATAGGCTTATTCTTTGCCAAAAATCAGGATTATATTTGGAAATATAATTTTAACTTTTAAACCCAAGGGCAGTTACTGTGATGTAAACTGATACTTATGAATAAATTTGCATCAGACATTTGTTAAACAGAAGTGTTGCTCCATCTCCCTGTATTGCAGTCAGTGTATCTTACTGTGCACGTTTTGATTTTCTTTAACTAGAAAAATTGGATCCTTTAGGGACAGAGAAGGATAACTGCCCTTTAACTGTAACTTCCCTTTAGTACTAGTATTTACTGCAGGAGATGAGACAGCCTCTCCCATTCTGTGTCCCCTGTGTATATTGCCCAGTAACTGGGGGTTCCAGGCACTTTCATGTAAACTACGCACTGGACAAAGGAATGACCAAGGGAATGGCAGGGGATGTGGAGGGCACATCTCGATGCTTTGGCTGTACCAGGTAATCTCTGAAACTGATATCTCCTCTAGGGCCTTTCTCAAATCAGGTCATAAGTTTTCAGAATTTGTCGCGTTGTTCATACTGATGTGAGGCATCCAGTGATCCTGTGCTCCAGAGGCACGGGCTGAGGCAGGCAGCAGCCAGGTGTTGTGCTATGGTCTTGTGATGGCAAGAGGTGGATTTTGGGGTTTTTTTATAGGAATGAAACAAACCCGCGTATCTTAAAACTCCAAGAAAAATTCTACTGTTCTATGAGATTCTTGAGATTCTATGAGATTCATTTATTGCAAAAGCTACTGCCAGGCAAGAGTTGGGTTTATCTTTGCAGAGAAGTGAAGTTAGGAGAGTTGTCTCTGCTACCTGCCTTCAGGTAGGATAAGTTGTATTATAGGGAGGTAAAATGGGAGTATTAACCTTCTTCAGGATCTGCAGTTCAGGGAATTCATTTGATATTTCCTTTTGTCAGTGCAAGTCTTGTCTTGCTGTGCTCCATAGCCATCAGTAAGAGAGTGACCAGCCTCTTTACGTACCACTGAGAAGTGTGTGCACAGCACAGTATTGTGCTTTATGGAGCAATATTGCTGGGATAAGTGTTTTTTCTCCAAAAGAGACATAAATGCATGTTACTCAGGTTAGTACTTTCAGGAAAATGCTTGCATCTAGAATCTAATAAATGTCACCTTGTGGGTTTTTTTTATTTTATTTTACTTTTTGATGTGAGAGGCTGTGAGGAAAAGTAGTCAGAGGTTGGACTGACTATGTTTCAAAAACTTGACCTTTTGGCCAGTGCTGCTGATTCAGGGATTCTTGTATTTCTCCACACAGGTATCCTAAGCCTCTTGGAACATGGGGAAGAATACACGTTCTCTCTGCCCTGTGCATACGCTCGGTCAATTTTAACTGTTCCCTGGGTAGAACTGGGAGGAAAAGTCAACATAAACTGTGCAAAGACTGGGTATTCTGCAAGTATTAACTTCCACACCAAACCCTTCTATGGTGGCAAATTGCATCGGTGAGAACGGTTTTTTGTTTGTTTGTTTGAAACGAGATTGATCTCACTGTCTTAAAGGGTTACACGTTGTTTGCAACATGCATTGTAAGTGCACTGCAGGGATCATTGTCTTAGGATTTCTAGGTAGGAAACTTAAGATTATCAAGTTTAAGTACAGCTTATAGAAAATCTCTAGGTAAAATTACCTTTTTTGAAGACAAAAGTAGTAATTCTTTTCATGGTAGTTCTTCGCTGGTACACATGTTTAGAAACTAACAGGTAAATAAAAGAAGATCCAGTGGAAATTTATTTGGGCTTCTTTCTAGCAAATGCTAGGATGTGTCTGCGCAGTTAGTGCAAAAGGGTTTTTTTTGATGTTTTATATTAAGACTGCTGCAGACTACCCTTGTGCTAATATAGACAATTAATTGAGAAAGGAACAAATTGGGCAGTAGTAACACAAAGAATATCTGATTCCAGAGCATTTTGCACTCAGCTGTTTACTGAATCGTGTTTATTTAAATAGTGTTGGAGATCATAATGAAATATATAACAGCCTAGAACATCAGAATTTCTTAGATGTGGGTTGCTCTCTCAGGTTGCAAAAAATCAGCAGTCTTCTCTTAACCATTTTTCCTGAAACAGCAGGGTAAGGCTGTATTTGTTGCTTAAAGAATACAAAACACCTCACCTCGCCCCATAAATTCCCATACATGCCTTGAATTTAACTTGGAAGCATAACTCCCTTGTCCCAATGGCAGCTGGAGAACTGAAGCTTTCATGTAATTCTGTTTCACTTGATGCAATTTGAAAGTGACACATCATTTGGGATTTTTTTTCCATTGATTACAATGTATCTTCCACCTTGCGATAAAAGAGCACCTTTGTGCCGTAAAGAGCACCTCTTGTGCCATAAAACATGAGTGATAGGATTAATTTTACTTCAGTGATTTAATTTTGGAAACTGTTTTGTTATTTGTCTTTCGGAAATTAGTCACAGATGTAGAGGCTTTTTAAAGAGAGATCTGTTCAAGGTACTGCAACTATTGAAAATTTGACATGGTGATGATTGGACATTGCCAAAAGAATCTCTTGATGGGGAAGCAGCAGTGTTGTCATGGTTACCCAGAGCACAACTGAGTTGCTATAGCAATGGTATAGATTTTTTTGTAGAGTGACCCTTCTTGTTAGACCTCAGCTGGATGTTGGCTCCTTGGTCCTGTACCTCTTTAGCTGGATGAAATAGAGGATAATGATAATGACCAGCTAGGCATATATCAGTCATGCCAAGCTTACAAATAACTGCTACCAGATTTTTGTCACTCGTACCAGTTCAGGCAGATACTGTGGTCTGCAATACTGGGAATGGGTGTGTGTCACAGAGCAAAGCAACTTGGAAAAATACAAGTTGTAATGAGTTCTAATGGAGCAGGTCAACACTGCACCTTAGTAGTGAGTGATACAGCTTTGTTTGCTTTAAGCTGAGCAGAGACAGTAATTTTATGATTGATGTTAAAATACTGGATGTCAGTATTCTGTTGTTACCAATGCTTGGAAAAAATGGAAGTCTTAAAGTTGTGAAGATGTAATTGCAGAGTCTGACTGGGCTGGTCTCTGGCATCCTATGGATTCAGGCTGTTTGTGGATCTCTTGGGAGGAGAACAGGGACTCCACCACGTGCAGTAGCTTTGGTGAGGTGTGGAAGTCACGGGATGAAAAGCAGCACAAAGTGAATGCTGCTTGCTTGTCTCTTGCTCTTTCAGTTGGTTTTAGTAATTGTTAGTGCTTGTTAACCTCCACAAAAAATAAAAGTTGTAAATGTGCTTTTATTGCTTAAAATTATGAATCTTAAATTTTTGTGATGGAAAACTGTGTGTGAGCAGCACATATTTATCAGTCTGTTTGGGGTTTTTTAAAGATGTTTTTAGTGAGGTTAAATTAGGTTTGAGGTGCTGGACCATGATGTGGCAGAAGTCCTGGCTGCCGTCTCCTGCTGTGAGCTGGCTGTGAGCTTTCCTTACTTGCCCCAGAGATTCCCTGCAGGTCTGATTTGACTGGCATCCAGTGTCTCTGTGCTGAAAGGTCTGACCTGTTATCCTTGTTTTGTTGTTTGAGAGATGGATTTCTCTATTTTGATGCCAGGTCAGTGTAGACACAGCAGGGAGTGACCAGTGCTTGTGGAAGAAGGGAAGTGGGATTGGTGTCCTGTGCTCCCTTCTTCCTCTGAGCATGACACCATACACAGGGTGGGAGCACAGAAGTGCTGCTTTCCCACTCTCCTGTATGTCGTTGTGGTGTGCAAGTCAGGAAGTTTGGAAGGAGATGTAACCTGTGGTTTTTGTGAGTGCTGATGAAATGCGTGAAAGGGAGCTGGAGAGTGGTCTTTTAGGGAGCTTGGGAACAGGTAATTGCAGTTTAATGGGAGCTGGAGATAGTGTAATTTGTGAATCCTGCAGCCCCTTGCAAGTGACAATGTCTCAAATCTGGTTTGCATAGTGCACAAACCCTTTTGTTTCTTTGTTTCTGGGAGATAAGTTCTGTTGGAGGGTGGTCATTTGCTTGCCAAGAAGTGCTCCACAACTCGGTCAGGATGGAGTGGGTGTCAGAAGGTCTTTGGACAGGTCTTGATGTTGAGGAGAAAAATGTGCATCAGTGTGTAATTATGGTGATACTTGAACACTGTGCAACACCTTGAATGAAATACTGCATGTTAGAAAGACATTTTTCGTATCTTGCTATTGGCAGAAGTTTCTGTGGAAGAGACAGGAAAAAAAAGCAGCTCTCCCAATTCCTAGGTTCCTACTTGTTTTTCTGCCTTTGTATGTCTGCTGCTTATATGAGCAACATAAAAATGAGACCACCTACATATTGAGAACACTGAAATATAAAGATTCAAGATAAAGTGCCAGCAGGTCATGAAATATATTCTTGCTAGAAAGTTTAATTTTTATTAAAAAAATCTGAACTATGTATCTGATTTGATACTTCAAGTGGCAATGATCAACTGCTTCTTGCATGAGAACCAACCTGTGTTAGTTTCTTTTTCTTTTCAAGTCCATTAAAAGGTTTGCAATAAGCTTAAGGTGAAGCCAAAAATGGAGTTTCCTGGGTAACATGAAGAGAACTAAAGCAGAGAGTGAAAGTCACTTTGCTCTCTGAGCTTCTTCATGCAAATGGAATTCATGGAACTAACATTTTTCAAGGCAGTGTGACAAGTTTGCAAACTCATCCAGGACTGAGTGATTATGCAACTGATAGTCCTCAGGTGTCTTTAGACATGGCCTTTTAAAACCAGATTTCTTTGCCAGAGTCACGGGTGAAGTGAAGCAGAATGCAACGAACACGGTGGTGTGCAGAGTGCAGGGGGAGTGGAACAGTGTGCTTGAGTTCACCTACAGCAACGGGGAGACAAAATACGTGGACTTGACAAAGCTGACTGTGACGAGAAAACGAGTCCGGCCCCTGGAGAAGCAAGGACCCTTTGAATCTAGGTAGAGTATGTGCTTGCTCGTGTCTGACCCTTTTTGCCCTGAGCAGTCTGGTGAGTGCCTTAGCAAAACCTGCAAATTGTAGAAACAATTTGTTCATAGTGCTTAGCAGCAGTGATCTTAATTTTTCATGTTTTTAAAAATAAAAGCCAAGAGCACAGAAAAAAGTGCAAAAACCAAGTGCAGGCACATAGTTGTTTATCTTGTCTCTTATTCGTGAACAGATGTTTTTTGAGTTCACAGAGTGCCTGCTAGAACAGAGCCTCTTTTTTTTTTGTTTTTAACCGTCAGCTGCACAGCAGGGCAGTTCCTGATGAGGGACATCCTCACAAGAAACTGCTTGTTGAATAGCACTTCCATAGCAGCTTTAAAGGGTTGGCAAACAGATTGGCACTCCCAAAACCTCAGAGCTATTCCTGCCCGCTCCCAGTTGCTGGCATAGCTGTGAGCCCTTCTCTGCACTATGGCACCGCGCTCGGACCTGGGCTGGTTTGTCATGAGTAAGGGGAGGAAATGCTCCTGTTCTGAGAGAACTGCTTGCAGTGATCCTGTAGTTCGAGGGGGCAGGCTGAGGAAACTTTTGAACAGTGAAGTTACCCATTTGTTTTGCAGGAGGCTGTGGCAGCACGTGACAGAGTCTCTGCGGGATGGAGACATTGATAAGGCCACGGAGCACAAGCGAGCTCTTGAAGAACGACAGAGGAACGAAGAGAGGCTTCGTGCTGAAACAGAAACACCTTGGTGTACTAAATACTTCCTTAAAGATGTAAGTTCCCAAGCATTTAGCTGTTGATGGAGGCAGGAGCAGAGCTATTATGAAAGCAGGTGCACATGTAGGTCTGTGTCCTGTCAGAATAGAGAATTTGGCCTTAGATCTTACATGGGATCCATAGGAGTAAGGTAACATAAAAACTCCTTAACATGTAAAGGTGTGACTTTATCCTTCACTTCCCAAACACTTTGATTCTGTGATTCCCTTGCATCAAAATGTTTGCCTGTTAAACAGCAGTAATGTAATTCCACCCTCTTCTTCCCATATCTATGATTTAGTAAGAGCTTAGAACATGGTCCACACAGACGTACTCAGAAAATGTTTAAACTTAATCCTGAGCTACTTCATTTCTAGAGGAGCAGCTGGTCGTGTGTTGGAGCTGATAATCCTGGGTAGCTTCCTTTCTACTGGCTGCTTATTTGGCTTCTTAAAGTAATTTCGATCATGGAGTGGAGACGAGTGGCTCTTTGACTGGGTTAATTACAAGTGCAGTCGACTCCCAGAGAGCGCTGTGGCTCGGCAAGAGCCTACACGTGTTCTGAAGTAGTGTCAGAAGCCTGCAGTGTTCACCTCTGTGCCTTAGTCTGTGGGAGTTGAAGGTATAAGCTATGTCCCTCTGGTTTTCACAGTTATCAGCCTAATAGTTGTGTGAAGAGAATTCTCTCAGGGCACTGTCGTTATTATAACCATGTTTTCTCTTCAAATTGCAGGGAGATGGCTGGGTTTATCATAAACCCCTGTGGAAAACAGTCTCTGCCGCACAAACTCAGCAAACAGACACTAACTAGAAAAACAACCTGCTTTAAGATCAGTTTTCTGGTTTTCATCTCCTTTTCCTCTGTCTCTCAAAACACAGTAATCACACTGAGTGTCCCCTTTTTATGTAATTGTGCAAGTTTAAATGAGCATAAAGAAATAACTATACTAGGGCACTTTAAAGCTATTTAAAAAATAAGGTAAAATCCAAGTTGTAGAGACAAACTTGGCAGGTACATTCAACCACCTTGTTTTTTGTATGACCCAAGAGATTTTATCTGCATTGTGTAAGATTCTTCTAAGTAGATCTGATTGCAAAAGCTGCCTAAGAGAAGAGAGACCTGCTGGATTTTGAAGTGACATAAGAACTCTTTTGGAATCTGCAACAAGCTCTTTAATAACTCAAACCTTCTCAGCACCAATGTAGACAACAGCAACAAAAAATTGCTGCTTTTTTGCCCAGTAATTAACCTTCTTGGCAAAAACTTGGAGGGGTGTTTGGAAGATGTGCCCGAAATCAGTATTAAGAAACAACTGGATCATGACGACCTTTTCTTCGGAGAGAACGTGTGCATGCATTGGAGGAATACGGAACATATGTAGAGACTACTTTTCTTTTTTATGGATTTATAAAAGCAATTAGACGTGTAACCATGGAGAAATTTTTCCTCTGAAACGTTTTAATATACTTGAAATAATTGACTTGAATTGGAAAAGTAATTTGAACACTTTTCAACTCTAATTTTATTAAATCTCTTTGAGTGACTGATTTTTCTCAAGTTATAAAGTAATGAGGTTTGGCCTGGTTTTTTCTCCTCCAACTTCTCTTCCCGAGGACTAAGGCTTTCAAAATGAACAGAAAACGTACAATTTTTGTATTTAAATTTTTCTGCCCATCTTATCATCTCAGAGATGAAGTATCAGTGTTACAAACTGTCCTTTGGATTGCTTTGGTTTTTTTCCTGTGGTGTTGTTCAGAGCAAAGCAGTGAAATGTGACCTTGAATACATGGACTGTAGGTCCTGGTTTTTCATCTTACCATAAAAACAAACAACTGATTATGCTGAGGACTGGGTATTGTTTTGAAACACAATCAGATATCAGGAAACTGTATTCAGGTACAAACATCCTTTTTTTTTTTTTTTAATAACTATTTTATTGAAGTCTAAGAATTGCTGGCAATTAAGAATAGTACTTATTATGGCTTTCGTTATTGTTGTAACTACAAGCTACCTTAATTTTTCCAACAGTGGTGCCTTAACTCTGTTTTTTCTTCTGATGTAGTCTTCCAATCAGTGTATATAACATTATCTGCCACTTCCCAGCCATGGCAATGGCTGCACCTGATCCAGCATCATGAGAACTCACAAGTGCGTGATCTGGTAAGACGTTTTCCGTAGAGGAGATGCAAGTGTAAGAGTGCATCAGAAGGTTTAAATAACCATGTTAATTTTCAACACAAACTGTAAATCGTGCAAAAAAAAAAAAAAAAGAGTTGGGTTTATGCACAACTGTTTTGATCCTCTTGTACTTTTTTTTTTTTCTTGCTGTGAAATGCACTGAGGTCTCAATGCGAGTCATAGTCCGTTTGTGAGAAGGGGGGGGGGAATAATAAAACTACAAAATGATTCATTTGTTCTGTCTGCTTTCCTAGAAATCAGGTGATTGGAAAGAGCAGGTTGTCATTATCTTTTATGCTGGAGGTCTGTCTGAGCTTTCCTTGGTCCCAAAAGTGGGATATTTTGGCACTGTGTGCTCAAGTAGGAGCTATTTTCTCCAGCAGAAGAATGTTTTAGGCTCTACTTGTCTTATTTGTGATATCCTGTCCAACCATCCTGTTATGATAGTTTTGGATATCCGTTGGGCATTTTCATGTTTAACCAGGAATAAAAATAAAAATTAAAACAGTGGGATCAGTTCCTCCTTGTTTCTGGGTCTGCGGCACATTTGAGGTGCACTCCTTGCCTATTCCAGGATTTGGAGTAGGAATCATGGTGTAACATGAATTTCTGTCATGGTTCTTTGGTAGCTGTGTCAAACTGGGGGTGGTAGAGAAACAAAATAAATATATGTTTCATAATTGTTTTATCTGTATCCCTTGGCACATTTGATTTAAACAGCAAGGGCTGTGGTGCAAGGTCCAACTTTTAATATTGCAGTGATCAGAGCAAAAATAAACCTTTTTCAGCTGAGCATACTCCAGGGATCAAACTTGTGCTTACTAAAAGAGAGAGTTATGACTCAGTCACTGAACTCTGCTTAAAATTTTGATTTGGGAATTTGTCAAGGTAATGGTGGTAAATCAGACTGAAAAGCTCCTATGTTGACGATAAACCCATTTGTGTTCCTTATATAACATTATTAGTCAAGTTATTTCTCTTCCTCCCTCATCTGGTATGCTTGTGGTTTCACACTAGGAAAGCTGTTACTAATTTTGTTTTGTAAAAATAGACCCAATGCTGAAGAAGTAACTTTATAAAACACGTGAAATTATTTCTTTTAACATGGGGATGCTGCTATGAAAAAAAGAAGATAAAACCTTCCTTTGCTCAGATGATCACCAGAACTGGAATGGTTCCTGAAGTGGATTTAGTTAGGATGCAGATTTCTACTTCTCAAAACAAAGAAAATAATTGAAAACAGTTAAAAGAAAAAAAAAAAGGCAACTAGCCACCGTACATCCAGCTTAAATTGTAATTGTGATTCTTCTGGGAGTTGCAAGCACCCTGCGGACTAATGGCTGTATTTTTAACTCTGACCAGATTTGATTCTCTTGCATAACTGCTGTTGTTTCCATCTTGTACCTTCTGCAGCGCAGGGAAGGGCTCACTGCTGCTTCCGATGTAGACATTTGCTAGAACCACAGTGTGTTCAACAGGGAGCATGGCAAAACGTAGGGCTTTGGCTTATGTTCCCTTCTGTCTCTTTGGCCTGATTGGGCTCCACTGAATTCAAGAGTGAAATTCTGATTGATCTCAGCGGTTTTAGACTCCCTGAGTTGTAAACAGATCTTGGAGCTTAAATAAGTGGCTCTCTTCAGAGGTGCTGTGCAGCCTGCTGCTCATGGAAAACAAAGTGTGAGGAGTCACTCCTATTTAATGCAGGCATTCAGGCATGTGATCCTGATGGATTTGTGTTTTACGGAAAAAATGCAATATGCAAATCAGGTTGTTCAAGGTTTTAGGCAAAAGGGAGGGGAATGGATTAAGTTTTCAGCATATTTACAGTGTAACCTATCAAGCCTAGAACGAAGTCTGTCTCCCCAGGAAAATTTGGCTTTCAGCCATCAGAATCAGACGCAGCTTTCAGTGTCTGGTTTGCACAGGCTGGTCCCTCTGTCCCTGTTACCTGTGGGAAGAATAGGTCAGAGTGCCCTTTAAAGCCTCTTGAGCTGAACTTGGAAGGCCAAGTAAACATATTTATGAGTGAACCCAAACAACTTGGTGAAGAACTTGGTATGGAAATTGTGTATGAAATATTATGGGAAGGAAATATCGGATGGCTTGAGGGGAGTTCCGTGCATTCTGTGGTTTTGATATTCCTGACAGAAAAGCTGCCCCATGGGCTAGAGCAGTGATTAATGTATTAAGGAAATGAGACTGAAGTCAGGTGGGTGGAAAAAGTGTGTTTGTGGGGAACTGGGGATGATGTGATTCAAGAAAAAAGGGTTAACTTGAAAAATTGTAAGATGACAGGAGGTAGCAGCCAGGTGAAGATTAGTGAGAATGACAGGTGTTGTCACAGCTGCAGGTGGAGATTTATATGTGGTAGCTAAGCAAATTTTTTGTTATTTAAATTTCATGTAACCTAGTTCATTCCCCTTCTGTCCTTTGAAGGATTTAGGGACAATTTGGTTCTAGGTTTTTAATTTAGGAGCTGTGGAAATAGTCCAAAGAGATGGAAACAATAGCTAGAAAAGAAAAGCTTTTTTTATGGGCTGGTGCTGTCACAGCATTTTAGAAAACCAAACCAGCCCTGCAGATCTGCTCCCCTGCTCCACATTGGGAGCCTCAGCTGTAGAAAGCTCATGGCTGCTGTAGAGTTTGCTCCTTTCCCCTCTTTCAGGGCTGACCCATGCAGCTGCATGGTGGCAAGCAAGGAATTCCTTTCCAGTGCTATCCTGAAAGATACACCCCTGTGTAGATGTCAGGCATGGGCGTGCAGGGCTTAGGAGCACCCACGGGTTTTATTCCCATTTGCTCCCAAGGGTGGAGGAATTTGCACAGTGCCAGGGTTCAGAGCAAGTTATGACTTACCTTTCCTTAATTGCTTTCCGGAATAGAGGCAGCCTGGCTTGGTGTGGTGATTATGGGAATAAAGGTCTCAGTTCTGTCTGACCGTGTTTCCTCGGGTGGGGTAAGCCAGCAGGAGGGGTGCAAGAGTTGTGAGAAGAATTAGCCAACACTTTTGTGTTGACACTGTTACTGTAGCACAGATCTGGCTAGAAGAGGCTGGAAACTGGTCTGATGGGGGAAGAAGTTGTCTCCATGTCCTGCATGAGGAGTTTTTAGTGTGAAGCGGTGGTGACTTATTTCTATCAAAGAGACTTCACACACCCACCTGAACTGTCAAGAACTCTCAGGAACTCCCCAGTGAGAAAAGGTGTGTTGGAGTTGCAGCATATCAGGCTTTTGCAGAGTGGATTATTGTGTATCTTTGCACAATATTGAGGATTCTGATTAATGAATAATTTTCTTGTGTGCCAGTGTTTCTTCCATTGAGGGTATGTCACATTTCGAGATGGGGTTTTTTCGCTGCTACAGGGGGTTGTGTGTGTGTGTGTGTGTGTGTGCAGGCCATTAAAAAAGGAAAATTATCTTGTTCTCTGCAGATTAAGCAGTTAGAAGAGAAACTCATGATGGCAATATAGAAGGACTTAAAAAAGATAGACATGGAATTCAGGTGCTTATTAATAAAAGATTAAACATTATTATTTTAAAAAATAATAAAAAGAATGCTTTGGCATCATTATACATTTAAAGTAAGTACAAAATCAGTTCATATATAATGTTGCACTGTAACCAAAGTATTGATTCCACAGTTCACCGTATCTGCGGGAGGAAACAGATCTTATAAATAAGTTATGTACTAGATCTTAGTTCCATTTTGAAAAACACAGCCAAGTTGGTTTTTTTTTTCCCTCATGAGCTAAATGCTTCTTCCTCATCCTCTTGTTCCTCGTGATGAGGGTTTTTGCCTGCTGTGTCACTGCACGTTCGTGCTCCCATCGCTGTCCTGGTGCTCCCCACCCGGAGAAGCTGTTTTGCTGGCCTCGTTGTCCGTGTTGTTGTTGAGGATGTCGTCGCAGTCCATCTGTGCCATCAGGTTGAAGCGCTCGGCCACGCAGTGGGCGGTGAGCCGAGCCTCGGGGTCGTGGTCCCAGCACTCCGTGATGGTGTCGCACAGAAAGCGCATCCCCTGCAGGCAGAAGGGCTCAAATTAGGATCTGAGGGCCAGGAGGAAGAGGAGCTGACCTAACAGCGTTTTACTGCCACTTCTGACAGCCTCCTGCATAAAGGCTGGTTTTGGCCAAGAGGAAACAGCCTTGGTAAGTTGTGGCAAGTGCTGGTGCTTCCACCATGACTGGCACTGCCTGTGTTAGAGCAGCAGCCTCAGCTCACCCAGCATCTGCTCCCAAGCAGTTCCCATGCTTCCTGGAAATGCTTGCTGGAAGGTGGCTTGTGTAGGCTCTGGGACTTAAATAAGGGCTGGAAGGAAACAGGCCCTCCATCTCCTGTCTCAGAGATGCTCCATTCAGAGCATCCTAAAATCAGGAGGGACAGGGGAGGTGCAGATGGTGACCTGCAGGATGGTGGGTAAGCCCAGGCCCTGGGTTCCAGCCTGTGCCCTGGCTCTTACACCTGGAGGGAAGGGATGGGTGGGGTGAGTTTGGAATTAACTTTCCTAAATCTGACTTCTTGTTTTAGTAGCATTCTGAAAGGGTGCACTGTGCCAAATACTCATTGCATTGTGCAACTGAACCTTGTTCTCTCATCACAAAATAGTGTTTTGGTTGAGGTGGGGTTTGGTGCTTCCCAGTGTGCTCCAGAACACATGTAGTTCCTCTCAGTTAAAATGCTTATGTCTCCCAGAAATATATTTTTTTTTGTCCAATTGTGTAATGCTCTGAAAAGAGTCAATATTTTGGGCTTAGAAACAAAATAAATGGTAGTATTCAGCTGGTATTTTTCCCACTCTTAAGTTAGTAACACAGCTAGCACCAGAAGCTGTTTTGAACCTTCTTTTGCCCATGTAATTCCTATCATGTGCTATTGCTTTTGGCATCATTGTCAACTAAGGTTGGAACACAGTGGAAAAATCATTATTCTAAATAAAGCTTCATGTTTTTCAGTGGGTTTTGCGTATTTCTTAATTTGCAATTGAGAGAACCCTGAAGGCTTCGTGTGGACCCAGACAGGAGAAAAATGCAAGTCCTACAGACGTGTAGGGTCAGTGTCATCTGTTCTGGACCTTTCTGCTAAGGTCCATTGTGCTAAATCTTCCATAATGGACACAGATTGGAGAGAACAGGGTTGTGCAGTAAAACTGACAGATGGTGTGTTTCAGTACCCCTGACGTCACTCGTTTATTAGCTTAGTTGAAAGGATTTGAGGATAATTGATTACATGCAAAAATGAGCTAGCTTAGGCGAAGCTTTTAAAGTAAGCCTGTTCTCAAACAGAGCATGGCACTGTCAAATGGTTTAGGCATTAGATTTTCTGTGCTTATTTTACCCTGAAATCAAGACAATTATTTGTAGTTTGCCTCCTCCGTCGTGATGGTGCTCTTTTGAATGGTTCAACTGGAGCATCTTGTTTCGTTTACAAATGGACTTTGTTTGGCTTTTATGTTTGATATCTGTTTCCAAAGGCTGCTGAGTGGTACAAGTGATTTTTAGTGGCAATATTGACTTAAGCTTCCACTGCTCCTTCCTGTCCTGCAGCAGCCCTCCAGTTGTGGCCAGTACATCCGTCTGTTCAGATGCTTTGTGAACCAGATCCAGGAATTTACCTGGCCTAAATAACTTTTTTTCTCTCTCTCTTTTTTTTTTTTCTTTTTTTTTTTAATGTGTTGGGATGTGAAACAAGGTAGAAACATGGGCGTAAGGGGTTTGTGAGTTATCTGGGAAAGTTTGGGATAAATCTCTTCAGCTGTCTTTGTTGTGCAGACTTGCAAACAGTTGCCCTGGAGCTGCTGCTGGGTGAGTCAGCCCTGTCAGGGAAGTTAATGCTGAGTCTTGCTGAAAATCAAACCATGGCCAGACATGTAGACCCTCACTTGACTGAGAGCAATCCTGATGGTTGAAACATGGGAGTAACATCTGAAGCTCTGCAGCAAACTTATTTTCATTGTTGGGAATGTCTGATGGTGCTGCCCATTCAGATGAGTGACTTGTCACAGTTTCTTGGTGCCACCCAACGCCTCCTCCCACAGGAAGCCAGCTCTGACCCTAGGAGTGGCAAAGCCGGTGGCTTTCTGCAGCTTCCCAGCAGATGGTGCTGCCCAATTCCTCATCCTGGGGAGAACGGCTGCAAAATGCCCGGAAAATGCTGTAAAGCCAGGCTTGAAAGGAGATGTTTATTAGATTAGCCAAGATTAGTCAGGGGCAAACTTTCAGGAACACAACGTAGCTTTTCTGTTCCTCTTCCCCAGTGACCATCAGCTGGTCTAATAAAAGTTCCCTCCTTAAAAGCCTTGCTCTGTTTGTGTGCTGAACCAACCCGACTACAGCAATGTTGTTTCTGGGAGGTGACTGCAGTCAGCCTCCCCCAGCCCAGGGAACAGCACAGTTATGGCCAGGCTCTATCAGAGTGTGATTTTTCACAACCCAAGCCTCTGTGTATTTTTCCTGTGGTTTCAAAGTTTATCAGAGACCTTGGGTGGTGAATGTCTGAGGCTTGAAATGTGTGGCAGTGCTGATTTGAAGTTCCTGTATTTGCCTTCTTCGGGAAAAAGGCTGGGTGAACTTCTGACATGGACTGGCTGACTGATAAAATCCCTGGGGGTGCAGCAGAAACCACAGATTCATTTGATGCTGTTTGCAGCTTTGGTCAGTCAGGTCAGCTGTGAGTCTTTGGACAAACATGGTTTTTGAGAGGAGACATTGTAGGGAACACGTGGCCTCCTGAGGTCAAGAAATTGTATCTTTCCCTTTAAAAAATGTCTGCCTCTGTGTGCCACCCGGGCAGAGTGAGGGCAGTGACAGTGTGTTTTATGGGTAGATATTGCAAAATGATGCACTGAACACTGCAAGGCTCTGAAAGCCAGCAGGCTTGATGTTTCAGCTTGTTTTTCAGGTGAATGGGATTGTTGATCAGCAGATGGTGTTTTTCCACAAGATGTGAAAGTCATGGCCAGCGTGCCTGTTACCTTTCGTGTCCTTGGTGTGTGGAAGAAGGCACTGGCCCTGGGACAGAGGATCCTGTCAGGGCCAGGAGGGAACTGTGCTTCTGCAGTTGTTTGGTCTGGGTGTGCTTGTGGATGGTTTTAACAGAGCAGATCTCATCACTGCTGAAGTGCTGCCTTTCTAGAGCACTGGGTTACGCTTTCTGTGCTGACACACTTTGCTTTCAGACCCTCTGAAGGCTGGTGAAAGACTTCCCTTGGCAAAACCTGAGCCCTGAGCCTAGCAGGGTCCCTGCTCTCAGCTTTATGTGTGTTCCCTGGGTGTTTCACATGAAGGAGATGCTTTCTAGTTTGCTCTCCTTGTAGAAATGGAAATCCTTCTCTCATGTTAGAGGTAATTTTGAGTTTGAAACCTCCACAACCAGGCTTACAGAAGGCAGGATGCACTTTCTTTCCCCCCTGTACCTGCTGTGAATGGCTGTGTGCCAGGGACTGCATGTTTCCTGAGCTAGAGCCTTCTGGATAAGGTGTTTAGGGGAGAAGTGGGGCGGACTCATATGATTTAGTGTTTTGTGAGAAGAGCCTGCACTGAAGTGCTCCATTTTGCTGTTATCCTCAAGGATAACCCATCACCTGGCACTCAAAATGCTTCCTGATCATGGCTGTTGATCAACAAATTATACTGTACCCCTGGCTGGTGGCTGGTGGGGTTTATGTGGGCCCATCCAGCCACAATGCAGCTGGAAGTAGAGTTCTAGCCACTTTTCCTTTGATTATAACCTTAGTAATTTTTCAGGCTGGTTTAGTCAAGTGAGACAACGTGGGTTGTTCTTTTCTGGTTGCTCCCAGCTTACCTGGTGCACCAGCCAGCTGCTCGGGATCTCGGGTCGGCCTCTGCCATGGAGCACGATGTCCCTCATGGTGTCCACACAGGGCTGCTCCTGGACTTTTGACCCAAAAGGCAGCTCATAATTCTTTACCTCTGCAAGGAAGCAACAGCAGCATTACAGGATGTTTTTAGTGCATTCCTTGCTTTGTTTTGCTGTGGTCCACTGGATAAGAACACGCTTGTTTTTTGCAGTCTGCAAAAATAAACAGATCTCGGAAAAAAATTGAGAGTTTGAACACAGAAACATAGTGCTGGGCTTTCACATAAAGGTTGTTTTTAGAGACAGCACTGAGGAATGATCTGACTACCTCCCTGAACCCAAGAGATGCACTACAAAGGACCTGGTTTGTCTTTGGGTGAAACATATTTTGAGCAGGTAAAAAGTGTTGTGCTGGTGAAAGGTGGGAGGGGTGACTATGATACCAGCATTTACATTCCTACTGCAGGCATGGATTGGCTTCAAGGAGAAATGGCCCTTCCAGAAGAGCAACCCTGTGTTGTGTGAGGCCGAGGAGAAACTAACTGCCTGTTGCAGAGGTGAGAGGCCACCCTGGTTTCTACCAGCTCCTGCCTGGATATGAATGCAGGTGAGAGATGAGTGGGGAAGGATGGCTGGGATGCTGGCTTGGGAACAAAGGATGCACAGGCCATCTGAGCCAGTCAAGGGCCCCCCACTACCAGGCATGGGGTGTACAGGGCAACTGGGGCAGCTTTCTTGCCAAGGGTTGGAGATTCTTGCAGCCCAGTGGGTTTGTATTGCAAGTAGGTGGGATAGGGAAGTGGAGCAGGCATAAGGCAGGTTGGGGCCAGCACCAGGGCAGGTAATGAACTGTTTTGCTACATTCAGTTTCAGGTGCCAGGATGCAGCTCTGGGAAGTGCCTGAGTCTAGGGTTTGTGGGTCCCCATTGCAACCTAAACTTTCTGGTGTTGTCTGAAGAAAAAGATGGTTGAGAAGGGGGAGGCACCTTTAGCTCTTTCTGCTTGGTTTGGTTTGCATCACTGGCACAGGCTTGGATGTGACACAGTGGCTGGCTGGCTTTGAGCAGGGCCTGGACCAGGTGACCCCCTGGGAACCCATCCTGCTCCTTGACCACTGAGCCACTCCCTTGGCCACAGCACACAGAGCAGGCAGCCATGGCAGGGATCTGCCACCAGCTCTCAGCACCCCTACAGAGACCTGAGCCACCCCAAATCAGGTCCTGTGCCATCAGTGGGGATGTGGGAGTAAGGGAGCAAAAAGGCGCATGGCAACCACAGGGCAATGCTCCTACCTCCTACCACTTCACATCTGGAGGCCATTTCCCACAAAACAAGGGCCATGGAGTAGACATCCATCTGCTTGAAAGACTCCAGGTCTTCCAGGTTCACCCTGGACTCCAGGACCTCTGGGGCCATGTACCTGGCGGTGCCCACCTGCCCGCAAAGAGGAGAGAGGCATTAGGAGGGTGGGCGAGGGCCGTGGCCACCTGACAGCCAGGGGTGGCTTGCAAAGGGCCCTGCAGAGAGGGTTGGTGGGCCATACTCGCCTGCCCGCTGTTGGCAAAGTCGTCCACTGTGAGGGAGGGGTCGAGGCGAATGGCGATGCCGAAGTCGCAGAGCACACACTCCTGCTCGTTCTTCACCAGCACGTTTGTGCTCTTGATGTCCCGGTGGGCGATGGGGATCTTTGGCCGGCCGCAGGCGGTGTAGTCGCTGTGCAGGTGGGCCACCCCGCTCACCAGGGAGCCCGCCATCTTCTGCAGGTCCATCCAGCTCAGGACGTGGCGGGACAGGTAGTCCTTGAGGTTGCCCCGGCTGTGGTAGGCGGTGATGAGCCAGTACTCCCGGCGGGGCCCCGTGCCCCTGTCCTCGGCAGTGAGGAACTGCAGGACGCTGTCGTGCTTGAGGCTGGTGTCGGTGAAGATCTGGCTCTCGTTCTTCCAGGAGGAGTACTCCTCGCAGGGGAAGATCTTCACGGCCACCGTCTCGTACTGCCCCGAGCGGCTGTGGCTCAGCTTGGCCCTCCACACCTCCGCGAACTGCCCCTTGCCCACCATCTCGTCCAGCTCGATGGGCAGCAGCTCCGTGGGGCGGCTGCTGGCGCAGCTGGGGCTGGCGCCGGCCGGGTTCTCATCC